TATAGAATCATGCTAATAAGTGAAATAAATTATTGAATTACAAAGTGTGTTTCAATATAAAACCAAAATTACCTTTATGTGTTAATAGTTTATCTCAATTTCCAACAAACGGCAATATATTTCGTTGTGCCATTAATAATAATTCTGAACATATCAAATTCTCGAAAATTGCAAAGCAAGCGTTATTTCAATGCACTTTATTAAAACTAAAGATTCAACAACCGTTATAAAAGCTCATGTCATTAAGAATTGGATCAGAACCATTGATGGTTTGGGATATATAGATTAATAAATGAGTTTAATTATTTGCATGCCCGAAATTTTAAACAGGATCTCTTGGAAAACTCTTTCGGCAGAACAAAAAGGCAAGGTGGAAGTAATAAGAAACCAAATCCTTGTTCTTTCATATCATTTTGTCTTCAAGACATGACGCTTTACAGTAAAACTGCCAACGTTGCAGGGTACTATAACAAGAAACTGATAAACAGTGTCCAAGATTGCTATACTTGGGATTGAATATAAAGATTATACTTGGGATTGAATATAAAGGAGGAAGCTCCTTGGATTGAATATAAAGATTATACAGAAAATTCTCTGAAAGTCCTGGTGCCTAATATTTTTTTTATTTATTTCACAAATATTGTCAAGTATTTGAGCATTTCATACAAAGGCTATGTACTGCAGACAATATTAAATTAAAGGTATAAGAAACACTTGAAAAGTATGTTCTTTACGAATTTAGTTGCAGCTGCACTAAACATGATTTAAAAGCTATGTTTTTCAAAACTCTCATAATATTCTTTATTAAAAAATGGTACAAAATTGATATTCGATATTTTACGGATAGACAAGTCAATTCAAATAAACAAGATCCAATAAAAGGCAATGAATAAACATAATAAAACTTTTAGACTAGAAGCGAGCTTGGTTGCGGTAATGAGGGGTAAACTGAGAACAAATTTGCTTTGCCCTGTTTTAGTATTTTCCGCATTCAACAGATGGTTGATTGGACTGTGTTCAAATTTATCACTATTTATAACACATACTTCTGTTTTTAAAGAACTGAAGATACATGGTAAAGTTTGAAAACAGTAATATTTTTTCTTATAGGTAATTTATTAAGGTGAATGTGCTTTTTGCTTACTTTTCTTTTCAAACCCCGAATTGAGGTTAGTAATGGGAAGAGGTTACCCATTAGAGTGTGTGCTTTCCAAATTTTGAAATTTGGAAGAAGACTTTATTCAATATTTTTAAATTAACTTTTATTTAAAAGAAATCAGTGCATAATAATTCCGGGGAGCCTGGGAAAAAATGAAAATGATGAAGTCTCAAAAGATGGAAGTGAGGACGATCAGTGCTCTTAAGAATAAATATGATGCGCTGCGCTGTAGAACCCGACAAATGTGGATTTATAGATGGTTGCTCTATATATTATTTTATATCGATTATTGAAACTCTGCTTAATGTGCAAGTATTTAATTTCACTGAATAGAAAAGAATATGCTAGAGGTACATTGACTCTTAAAAGAACGGAAAACAAAAGGACGATGAGATTGCATAGGTAACTTCATGTAGTTTGTACAATTATGAATAGATTTTAGGAGGACGCCATAGATACAGGTAGAGAAATTGAGGGACGGTAATCTCCAAACAAATGTCTGTATCGTGGTTTTTAGTTGGAGATACACTCAATAGTAGCGCTCTTGGAATCGATGGAGTCAACAATGAAGTCAATTTTAAGCAAGCGCGAAACTAGTGGAAGTTATATTTATTTTGGAATAAATAAATGTACTAGAAAAAATAATATATCCTATAGCAGTTCAGCTTCATATTGATGGAATTCCGATTTATAATAACTCTTTGATTCAAATATGGCCAATTGTTTTAATAGTTTACCACCGTAATTATGAAAGTAAGCCTGCAACTGTCGCATTGTATTGTGGTGACTCCAAGTCTTATTTTGCAAAAAATTATCTCAAGGATCTTGTAAAAGAAGCAAATAAATATATTTCAGAAGGAATTATTATGAATGAAATTAAATATTTGTTCAAAACCTTTGGTATTGTTGCTGACTCTCCAGCGAGAGCTTTTATTAAAGCAATAAAAAATCCAGGTGGTTTTTTGCATGCGAAAGGTGTACTGTCGAAGGCATAACAAAAAATCGAGTTTATCTTAATACAAACTGTGATTTTCGTACGAAAGAATCATTTATATAACATTATCAACCAAAACATCATTTAGAGAATTTTAAAACTAAATTGTCAAAATTGAAAGGGTTTGATCCTATCCATGATGTCGTTCTTGATTCTGTGCATTTACTCTACCTTGGAGTAATGAAAAATATATTGGAAAAATTGTTAGTAATGTAAAAACATTATGCTCGGCAGAAAAACCTAAAGTCAACTAGTTTAAGAATATTATGCAATCTATAGCATTACATATTCCGGTTGAGTTTGAGAGAAAACTGTATGATATTGACCAAGTTAGTATATGGAAAGCTACTCAATTTTGATTCATTTTACTTTATATCGGACCAATTGTTTTCAAAGATGTGTTATCTCAAAACAAATTTCGACATTTCTTATTATTATTTGTCGCGTGTAGAATTTTAAATGATAATTTGAATGTAGTAAAATACGTTGAATACGCTCAAGATCAACTGAAACTATATAGTTTTAACTTTAACTTTTGTTGAATATATATATATATACATATATATATATATATATATATATATATATATATATATTAGTGATGTGCCGACTCGAAAAATTCCCGATTCGAATGATTCGAATCAGAAAAAAACCTGATTCGAATCATGATTCGAATCAACTCGAATCAAGTATATATATGGACAAAAAAAAATCATGGATGTATTAATTTAGTAAAAGTGATCCAAATTTATAATCAAAATTGTCAGTTTAACCAATATAACCGACAAAGTAGAAATTGTAAACATAAATCACTATCAAAAAGTATATTCTGAAAATTATTAAAAATGATGTAATTTTGAGGACGGCTAAAACATATCTTCAAATTAATTTACAATAATAGATTACCAAACAATTGTGCATCACTAAAGCATATAAAATAATATTTCGAATCATGGGTCGATTGTTTATTTTACTATGTAATCAGTAAAGGATCGCATCTAAACTGAGAGCTGAAAGTTAATTTCATTAATGTGAATTTGCCATTACTTACATAATCAGAAGTTAACATATTATTTACTGACTTTCTGGTGTTTAGTAATTGTTTCAAAAGAGAATTATATTGAAAGATTCCCGAAACTCGTTTCATAATTTCGAGTGGTTTATTCTGATAACATTTAAAATCTAAAACACTTAATTATTATCAAAATTGGGTATTGATATTTCACGAATAAAATCGCTCTCAGCGCTCCGTAAAATAAATAAACACGCAAGAACGACGACGCATTGTATCGCCCATACGGTTAACTCATATCGCTTGAACTCATATCGCTCGAACGGCTTGAAGTCGGGATGATTCGAATCAGAATTGAAGTCGGAATAACTCGTAACGCCGCTTGATTCGGTTTGGCTCATGAAGTCGGAACAACTCATAACGCCGCTTGATTCGAGTTGGCTCATATGAAGTCGGAACAACTCATATCGCCGCTTGATTCGAGTTGGCTCATATGAAGTCGGAACACCTCATATCGCCGCTTGATTCGGTTTGAGTCATGAAGTCGGAATAACTCATATCGCCGCTTGATTCGGTTTGAGTCATATGAAGTCGGATGATATAGTTAGTCGATGAATGCGGTTAAAGTCACACAAAGACGATTGGAGGTGGCTGATACATTTAGGCGTATTAAAGTCGGGTGGCTCGCATGATTTAATTCATTATTTATTTTTTATATTTATGATATTTATTTTTTATATTATTATAATATGGAATTAAATTAAAACATTTTTTTATATTTATATTTATGAAAAATTTTATATTTATGAAAAATTTGTGTTAATACATATTTTATCACAGTAAATATTTCGCGGCTTGATGCGAGTTGATTCGAATCAAGTAAAATCTGATTCGAATCAAGTCGTTAAAGGCTTGATTCGAATGATTCGAATCACTTGATTCGACTTGGCACATCACTAATATATATATATATATATATATATATATATATATATATATATATATATATATATATGGAGGTGTGGTCCATATTAAATACCATAATTATCCAAATTGTAGTAATAATAAATTCCATAAAATATTATTTATATTTGGTTTATTTTATGTATGATTAATATCCACGACACTATGTGTTGTCATATTTATCGTTAATAAAATGTGATTGGTATTTTCTTATTTATAATAGAAAAAGAAAGGTTTTGAAAATTATACATTTTGGCAAGTTCGACTAGGGAGAAACAAAAGCCGTGTCCGATCTGACACTTGAATTTATTTTTGTTTTTTTTTCTATGCTGTCAATATATGGGCCAATCTGTCCAGTAACATGTGATGCGTGTTGACAAGCCGCGATGCGTGTTGGCAACCCGCTACATCACTCCGCCCTAATGAAAAAGATTGTTTCGCATCTCTGACTACCATTCTTGAACTTCCTTGTAAATTTCTTTTGGTTGAGATTGTGTGATAAATTGCCGTGTTGGCTTGTTGAGTTTGTTGATTGCTTACGTGGCCCTTCGCTGGTGAGTTAGCGGTTGAGTAGATGTGGCCCTTCGCTGGTGAGTTAGCGGCAGAGTATATTTGACACTTCGCTGGTGAGTTAGCGGTTGATTGTATGTGGCCCTTCGCTGGTGAGTTAGCGGTTGATTGTATGTGGCCCTTCGCTGGTGAGTTAGCGGTTGATTGTATGTGGCCCTTCGCTGGTGAGTTAGCGGTTGATTGTATGTGGCCCTTCGCTGGTGAGTTAGCGGTTGAGTGTATGTGGCGGTTGCCAAATTGTTCAATGGAGATTCTCCAGACCTATGGTTTTTAGTAATTGAATATGAGTTTCAGTATGCTAGGATCAGGAGTGACGATACTAAGTACACAGCAGTACTCAAAGCCCTAGACTTCGAGACACTGCGCCTCATCCAGGATGTCCTCCGTAATCCACCAATGACAGGCAAATACGAATATATCAAAAGCACTATATTAAGCAGAATGTCTGAATCTAGAGGTAAGCAAATTGACAAGCTATTAAAAAACTTAACTCTAGGAGAGAAGAAACCATCACAGCTCCTACGAGAAATGTTGAATTTGGCTAAGGGAGAAGTCAGTGAAGACATCATAATTAAATTGTGGTCAGAACGCCTGCCACACCATATTCGGCCACAACTGATAGTTTCTCGTCATCTTGGTCCGGAAGCCCTGGCGGAAGTTGCCGATATTTTGGTCGATCACTGTAGCCCCACATCACATGTGATGTCCACAACACACAAGTCTTCAGTAGAACAGAGACTGGACCGCCACGAAACTCTGCTTATGTCATGCGTCCAGAAAATCAAGGAACTAAGGGCAATGTTAAACACTGAAAGAGAGAAGAATGATCAACAAGAATCACAACTCAACAATTCTAGATCAAGAAGTGAACAACTCAATCAGTCAAGTTCTAGAAGTGGTTCTCGACATAGGTCCAGGACACCTTCACGTGGATCGGTTTGCTACTATCATTATAGATATGGGGAGAAGGCTACAAAGTGTGAAGAGCCCTGCCTGCTTAAATCTCTAAACCAGTCAAAAAACTTACTTCACCGTCATTAATTGGAGCTTGCCATGACGGTGAAGTAAATTCTGTCTGCTCTGAGCTCCGCCTTCATATATCAGACAGAAAGACGGCAATCCAATTTCTAATAGATTCAGGATCAGTTATATCCATTTTACCAGCTCAGAAGTTTGCCAATGGTCATTCTAAGGAAGAGTTAGTTCTATTTGCAGCAAACTCTAGCAGAATATCCACGTATGGAAAAAGAACTCTGGAGCTGGATTTATCTTTACGCAGAAGCTTTAGCTGGCAGTTTGTTGTTGCCGATGTAGCTACAGCCATAATAGGAGCTGATTTCCTAAGCAACTACAATTTATTAATAGACTTGAAGGGTAGAAGATTGATTGATTCGACCACAGGCCTTACCTCTGATGGAAAGGTACTCAAGGCACAGCAAGTTAACATCTCCACTGTCAACCCGGCAGAGCCCTTCAAGGATTTACTGGCACAATACATCGCAATAACAAAGCCACAGGTAACCACCAATAATAAATCATCTCTTTTTGCCCACAGGATAACCACAACAGGTTCACCATTAGCTTCCAGATTCAGGAAGATCTTCGGAGAAAAGGCTGTTGCAGCCAGGTCCGAGATACAAGATCTCCTGAATAGGGGCATTTTGAGGCCTTCCAACAGTCCATGGGCAAGCCCTATTCACATGGTTCCCAAAAAGAATGGCACATTCAGAATGTGTGGAGATTACAGGAGGCTGAACGCAAACACACTACCTGACAGGTATCCTCCACCATTAATAATGGTTAAATTCAATAATCTTCATCAGAAAGCAGTATTTTCCACAATAGATTTGGAAAAAGCTTACCACCAAGTACCCATGCATGAAGAGGATATACAAAAGACTGCAATTATCACACCATGGGGACTCTTCGAGTATCTACGTATGCCATTTGGACTCAAAAACGCTGCCCAGACATTCCAGAGGTTTATCAATCACATATTCCAAGATTTCAATTTTGTTTTCATTTATATAGATGACATCCTGGTAATGTCGACTGATATGAATGAACACCGTCGTCATCTTCAATTGGTTTTTGAGAGGCTACAGGAATATTCTCTTACAATAAACTTGGAGAAATGCGCCTTTGGAAAAGATGAAGTTAACTTTCTCGGGTACAAACTGAGTGCTGCAGGATATTCTCCTTCACCAGACCGAGTAGAGAAAATTATTAATTATCCAAAACCTTTGACAGTTATAGAACTCAGAAGATTTTTGGGCATGGTAAACTATTATCGTAAATCAATACCCAAGGCAGCAAATATACAAGCACCACTTTACGAATATGTGAAGTCCTCAGTTAAAAATGACAAGACTAAAATTGTATGGAATGACACCTCACTATCAGCATTCAGCCAGCTGAAGGAAGCTCTAGCAAATGCAACACTTCTTCATTTTCCTTCAAGCATAGCAAATATAAATTTAATTACAGATGCATCCACTACTGCTATTGGAGCAACTTTAGAACAAGAACTTAATGGTGCCTGGCATCCAATAGGTTTCTTTTCGAGAAAACTGTCTTCCACAGAACAAAGATACTCCACTTATGATCGGGAATTACTAGCTATTTTTGCTTCAATCAAATTTTTTGAACATCTTTTAGAAGGCAGACATTTTTGCATTAAAACTGACCATAAACCTATAACTTATGTTTTTCAACAGAAACTAGAGAAGGCTTCAGATCGGCAGCGAAGGCAGCTGGAATACATTTCACAGTATTCAACGGACATTGTATATATGAAGGGTGATCAGAACGTGGTTGCTGATGCCTTGTCCAGGATCAATGCCATTCAAATGCCATCAAAGTTAACTTCAGAGGAAATTTCGCAAGAACAGAACAAGGACGTTGAAATGCAAACTTTATTAAATGGCAACACCTCCATATTTTGGTGACCCCGAGAGTGAACAAGTAACACACATTTCGCAAGAAGGTAAGAAGATCAAGTCATTTTTAGAAGTAACAAAATAAATTGAAGTCTCAAGAATAATCAAGAAACGAATTTTTAAAAATATAAATAATTATTATAAATGGCTCACAACTGCCATAACTCGCATTCTAAGCATACAATTGAGACTCCGACCACGCACTTCAAGATCAACAACAACACGTGCTCAATAAATCACTTATTATCATGGTAAATAAATCGATAATAAGCACCATGGCAGCAGACAGGGAGCAAACAATTTGGCAACCGCCACATACACTCAACCGCTAACTCACCAGCGAAGGGCCACGTAAGCAATCAACAAACTCAACAAGCCAACACGGCAATTTATCACACAATCTCAACCAAAAGAAATTTACAAGGAAGTTCAAGAATGGTAGTCAGAGATGCGAAACAATCTTTTTCATTAGGGCGGAGTGATGTAGCGGGTTGCCAACACGCATCGCGGCTTGTCAACACGCATCACATGTTACTGGACAGATTGGCCCATATATTGACAGCATAGAAAAAAAAACAAAAATAAATTCAAGTGTCAGATCGGACACGGCTTTTGTTTCTCCCTAGTCGAACTTGCCAAAATGTATAATTTTCAAAACCTTTCTTTTTCTATTATAAATAAGAAAATACCAATCACATTTTATTAACGATAAATATGACAACACATAGTGTCGTGGATATTAATCATACATAAAATAAACCAAATATAAATAATATTTTATGGAATTTATTATTACTACAATTTGGATAATTATGGTATTTAATATGGACCACACCTCCATATTTTGTTGTTCTCGATGTGCGTGGTCGGAGTCTCAGTTGTAGGATTAGAATGTTCTTCGAGTTATGGCGGTTGTGAGCCATTTATATTCATTATTTATTTTTTAAAAATTCTTTTCTTAATAATTCATGAGACTTCAATTTATTTTTTTACTTCTAAATTTGTTACTTCTAAATGTGTCTTGATCTTCTTACCTTCTTTCCTTCTATATGCGTGCTATTAATTCACGTTCGCGGTCACCACTAAAGAAACTCGTTGGTTCAAAATTGTAGAAATAAGTGCCACGATGTGGCACCATGTCAAAAACCGTTAAAACGATTTTAGCAATTTATTGCTAATTTGTATAACATATAAACCGAAATATCGGATCGATAAGATCGCGGAAGATGTAGAAGATCCAAAATGTTGCAGTATATGTAATATTGATGTTAATGGAAAAAACATTATTGGATGTGAAGGTGAATGCAAAGGTTGGTTCCACAAAAAGTGTGCGAAAGTTACTAATGAACAATATAAAGTTATCAGCACAAGTAACAATATAAAATGGTTTTGTGACATATGCTCAAAAAAAAATGAGGTAAGATATTCACATGAAAGTAATTTGAAAGAAATAGTAAATGAGCTTAAAACTTTAAAGAATGATATTAAAATAATTAAAGATGCAAGATCTAGTTATGCTACAATATGTAAAAATAATGCCACAGAAAATAATAATAATAAAAATTATAAAAATAAAGACATAATAAACCCAAATATGCCGCCAATAATTGTAAAACCAAAGAATAAACAGAACAGCTATGAAACTAGAAACTATATTGAGAAAAACATAAATCCAAAAAACGTAAAAGCAAAAGTAAGATCAATTAACAACATTAGTAGCGGGGGGTTAATAATTAAGGCCTCAACAATTGAGGAAACAAAAACATTAGCAGAACATATGATACAAAAAATTGGAAGCGAATACGAAATATATATAAAGAAACAAAGAAATCCGCGACTTGTTATAACAAATGCTCCAAGGCAATATATGGACGGCACAGAATTGATAAATGAAATGATAGAATATAATTACAATATAAATAACACAGATCAAATTAAACTAATATACCAAAGGAAATCACGAAAAACAGAAAATTGGATTACATATGTCGAAACATCGGGCAAAACATACGAAAAATTGTTAGAAAATAATGTAAATCTAGGATGGAGGACAGCTCATATAATAGAAGATTTAAACATAAAAAGATGTTATAACTGTCAGGCATATGGACACAGGGCAGTAGAATGCAAAAACAAGACGTTCTGTGCAAACTGTGCGGATGAGCATAACACAAGAGATTGTAAGAGCAAATCTAAGAAATGCATAAACTGCACAAATGCCAATGTAAAATACAAATCAAATTTTAATACGGTGCATAATGCAAATGAAACGGAATGTTCATGTTATCAACACAGAGCCAAAATGGTAAGAATGTCGACGAATTACAATGGACAAATTCAAGAAAATGAATAAATATAATAGCAATAACAAGAAAATAGAGATTAAGTATTTCAATATAAGAAGCTTAAGAAATAAAATAGATGACTTAGAAATAATTATGCATAAAAATGAAAATTGCCAAATTTTAATATTAACAGAAACTTGGATATACCAAGAAGAAGAAGGATACTTTAATTTAAAAAATTTTAGAGGTTTTTACAACTGCAGAGAAAAGAAAAGAGGAGGAGGAATAGCGATATTTGTAAGAAATGAACTAAACTGTACTGTCATAGAAAATAATAATAAAAATAATATAAATCTCCTGGAAATAGAAGTAACAAATATGAACCCTGTTATAAAGTTTATTGTTATTTACAACCCTCCGAATAATAATAAACAAGATCTGATAAATTTAATAGAAAAAAAAATGGAAGAAAACGGTAAAAATACAATAATAATAGGTGATATGAATTTAGATATAATTCCAAACAATAATATATCAAATTGTTACAAAGATATTATAGAATCATCAGGATACAAAATAATAAATAATATAGATAGCCAATACGCCACAAGGGAGACTCAAAACACTAAATCAATAATTGACCATGTTATATCAAATTATAAAAAGAAGATTAATATAGAAATAGAAGACACAGAAATATCTGATCACAAAATGATAACAGTATTTATACAAAATACGCCGAGAATCAAACCAAAAATGCATAAAATAATTAGATATAGCATAGATTTAGAAGGATTAGAAAAGACAATAACTTGTAAGTTAGACTCTAAAATAGTGGACCAATTAGAGGATTTAATAAAAATTATACAAGATGCAGCAAAAGAAAATAAAATCAAAGAAACAATAAGAGCCAGAGAAGATACCTGGATAACAGAAGAAATTATTAACTTAATGAAATACAGAAACAAATTCTACAATAATTTAAAGAAATGCAATATAAATGAAGTAAGCAAACATAATGCCATAAAAATGAAATATAATAATATAAAAAAAGATATAAAAAATATGATCTACAAAGCAAAAAGACAATACTATTCAGAAGAAACAAAAAAATGTGAAAGTGACTCTCGAAAAATATGGGAACTAATAAATAAAACATTAGGAGGAGGAAAAAATAAAAACGAATATAAAGAAAATATTGAAAAAATACAGCATAAAGATAAAAATATATTTCTTACAGAAAAGGAAGACATTGCGGAGTATCTCAACAAACATTTTGCTGAAATAGGTATGAAACTACAAAAGAAAATGGATCATTGCAACTATAAACCATCAATACACAGACCTAAAAACAAAATCCAAATTTTTGAATTAACAGATGAGAAAGAAATAAAAAAAATTGTTGAAAATCTGAAAAATAACGCTGCACCTGGCGAAGACAAGATAACAGCAAGAATCACTAAAAAAATAATAAATATAATAGCTCCACTACTTGCTGTTTTAATGAATAGATACATAGAATGTGGTGTATTTCCATCGTGTCTTAAAATGGCTACAATAAAACCAATTTTCAAAACAGGAAACAAAACAGATCCAAATAACTACAGACCTATAACAATAACAAACACATTCTCCAAGATATATGAAAAAGTAATAAAAAAAAGATTACTTGATTTTCTCATTCAAAAAATTGACAAAAATCAATATGGTTTCCTCCCTTCATCAAATACACAAGGTGCCCTAATAGATTTGACTAATACCATCAGTCAGCACCTTGAGGAAAATATGCACACAGTTGCAATTTTTATTGATTTACAAAAAGCTTTCGATACAGTAGATCATGGCATATTACTTAATAAACTAATAGATTTAGGTGTAGAGGGTTTGTCTTACAGCATTATCAAAGATTTCCTCATGAAAAGAGTGGTAAGGACGAAGGTGGGAAATTTCACAAGTGGAGGATGTAACATAACCTGTGGAGTTCCACAAGGTTCTGTATTAGGACCTTTATTGTATCTATTATACACCAATAACCTTAAAGACGCAAAATTAAAGGGAAGATACATATTATATGCAGACGATACAGCGATAGTATATGCGGATAAGGATAAAAAAAGACTCGAAGATATTATAAACACGGACATGAAAATATACACCGAGTGGCTAACTGAAAATAAACTAACAATTAACATAGATAAAACAAAATACATATATTTCAAACATAGAAAAAATACTGAGAACACTAAACTAAAAATTGAAGTAAATAATAGAGCAATAGAGGAAGTGGAAAGCATAAAATACTTAGGACTGATAATAAATGAAAAACTGACATGGACAGACCATATAAACAAAATAAAAAGAAAGATAGGAACATTAACAGGGGCATTGAAAAGGATCCACTCTTTCGGCAAAAAAAATAAAATACTAATTCTTAAAACGCAAATAATACCTATAATTTTATATGGCATAACAACATGGAGCCAAACAACTAAAGCAAACCTAAATGACATACAGAGAATAATGAATAAAGCCATAAAAATAGCATATAATTTACCACATCTAACACCCACCAAATACTTGCAGAGAGAAACAAATAATCATTCACTAAATAACATAATTAAAATAGAGAAATGCAAACTAATACACAAAATGAAATTTAACCGAATTAAAACAAGTGCAACAATAGACACAAATCAAGATATACATGAACACTACACGAGACAACACAACAATTTTCACATTGAACGCAATAGAAAAAAGAATTTGAGAGAAAATGTCATATGGAGTGCTACCAAAATATATAACGAATTGCCAGACTATATTAAGATGACCAATGATAATGATAATTTTAAAAGAAAAATAAAGAAGTACTATATGGAAATTGAAGAAAAAGAAGACTGAAGAGTTATATATAGATATTATATTAATGAAATAGATATTATAGTCAAATGAAATGTAAATATTATATGAAAACTGTTTTTCATAATCTCTCATACCAGGCACCTCTGTCTGACTGAGATATGAAAATAATGTATATATGTAAATAAAAAATAAATAAATATATCATTATTTTGTTTATAATGACAATGGTAATAACACTACGTGTGATTATATTTATCATTAACAAAACGTAGATATAATATTTCAGTATTTATAATAAAAAAGGAAAAAAGTTAAGAATTATAATTTTGGCATTTCGAACATTGAGCAAACAAAAACGAGATCTGATCTGACACTTGAATTTATTTTTGTTTTTTTTCTGTGCTGTCAATATATGGGCCAATCTGTCCAGTAACATGTGATGCGTGTTGACAAGCCGCGATGCGTGTTGGCAACCCGCTACATATATATATATATATATATATATATATATATTCAATAGATAAGTCCTGGAGTTTTTCAATATATTGATTGTTTCTTTTCCGAACAGTAAATTCAATAATAAAAAACAATTTGTTTTTTGAAGATGTTTAATACGACGTTTCGGAACTAGGTACGTTCCATCATCAGGTTTATTCTGTCAAATACAATGTTTTTTTAAAAATATTGATAACATTAATTAATGATGGTCAATACAGATTAATTAGAAAAAATTTTTTATAAAGGAATGGATTATGTACCGGGGTAAAGAGTAATAAGAATTAATTAAAAAAGGTTTTATATAAAATTGAGAAGCAAAAATTATTTACCTGTAATAATTTATATATCCATATCACTAATATTTTTTTTCGTAAATTACCAATACAAGAGCAATAAAAAATCATTTTTGCCAGGAATTCCGTACGTTTGTCCTTTACATCTGGCCGACAGAACTCCATATCAGTGTGTTTAAGTCTTGTGTAGTCGCAACATCTACAAATATCCTCCAAAAAATCGAGTGTTTTTAACAAAAAAATATTAGTGATATGGATATATAAATTATTACAGGTAAATAATTTTTGCTTCTCAATTTTATATAAAACCTTATGAAAATTAAAGCATCCTTATGGAACAGAAGTGTGTATCTGTGTGTGAATCGGTGTCTGGCGGTAACTTGGAGAGTGTTGAATAATCTCGGTGAAAAATTTTAAATATATTTTTAAAGAAGTAAAAAGTGTTTTATTAATTAAAAAATACTAGAGTAAATCTACTTCATATATATATATATATATATATATATATATATATATATTTCAAAGTAACTAGCAGCCCATTTGTCAAATAAAGTAATAAAGTATTTATACGTGTCACCTTTAAGTAAACTCTCCAAATATATCAGCTCCATTCTCTCTAAGGTTTCTATTTTATCGAAATTTATTGTACCCAATTCTTTTAGTTTAGTAAAAAAATTTACAATTCCTCCCAATTCTTCCTTTGTTAGTTTTGATGTAATTTCCCTTTTCACGAATATTCCTTGGGATTTGGCTTTAGAAGCTGTTTCTGACCGTTGGACCGTTGGTTCTGCTCACACTTCGATTGACTTGGTTCAAGACAATTTTAAATTTCATATTTGTTAACACTTATTTTTGTTTTGATGATAAATTTTACTTGCAGATTTTTGGTTTGCCTTTTCTTTATAAATTTATTGATATTATTGCAGGCCAAGATACTATGTCTTGACGATATATTGATCAAAGCACAGGCTTACAAAAAGGAAGAAAGAGATACGTTAGAGAAACACAAAACTACTTCATGGAGAGGCTTTGTAACCAGCGTAGGTAACGAAGACCCTTAGGATATAGTATACAAAATTCATATTAAAATTAAAATTACTTCCAAGAAGGTAGTTTTCCTGTCGATTGAATTCCCAAAAGAGGGAGTGAGTGGAAACCGACAGAAGAGACAGCAAAATCATACCGCTTTCCCATCACTGCCCTTCTGCCAATGATGGGAAAGGTCTTCGAGAAAATACTAGTAGAGCGTATCCACTCAAAGTATAGAGAAATGAATATGTGTATAAACCTTTGATAACTATGGTTGTTCGCCATCATAGATAGGCTGACGCAGGCCAAATTGAGCAGCCTCATGGTAAATATAGTTAAGGACTACTTTAAAATGAGAAATTGTTATGCTACAGGCAACACAAAAATGGTTAAGAGGAAAACGCAGAAGGGATCTCAACAGGGATCAATAATTGGACCTGTTGCATAAATATCTGCATGGACGTTCTTCTAAACAGCCTAACTCAGGGAGAAGTTGTGTAACCTATAGCATATGACTTGGCGCTAGCGATCAAAGGAAACTCCAGAGATGGCCAGGAAAAAACTATATCAAATAATAAGGCATGTCGTACTACGGCAAGCAATGCACTCCAAATAATGAACGGCAAAATGCCACTTGACTTGGAGATTATACAGCAAGAAATCTAAAAAGGATCTCATCTAAATATTTAAAAATACTGTTGAATCTCCATGCCTTTGAGAACAATGTCACTGTTTACTTCCCTGGTTCGGAATTACCGAACCGAATTTACCGATACGCGAGACATTTTCTCTCATGTTAAAAAAAAAACAAATTTAAGAACGCAAATTACAGATGCACATTTAAAGGATCAAATAAAACTGTGTGTTACAAAGCTTAATCCAAATATACAATTACTGTCAAACGAAAAACAAAGTCTAACGTAGTGAATGAACATTTAAACATTTTTTTTTATATTATTCTATATGCATATTACTTTCTTTCGGTCAATCTATGATATAATGATCAATGTTTCTCTACTGATACTGTTTTTCTAAATGAACTGCAATCTGAGAGCGATTAGCAAACTTATGATGAAATCGAGAACCAAAATAATCGCAATGAAAACTCCAATGTACCAAAGGAAAAATCTACATGTGACATTTCAGTCTGTCCTGAAGACTAACTCACAACACCTGGCCAATCAAGAACTGCAAGACGTTTAGAATTGGGCATGTGCATTAAGATTACTGAAAATAGTGCCGTAACGATTTAAACATTTTATGAAACAATTATTGAGGCAGGAGACAAAACGTATATCCAAAACGTCCAATATAAAATTGGTTTTGCTTTGCATTGCTTTTCATTAAAAGCTTGAAGCTTTTTGTACTATAAACAATCTGAAATATGTATTTAATTTGCAGAAACTTGTGAAATAGCTTATAAAATCATCGAAACGCGCACGTGGATGTTACTTTTTCTAAAATTTATATATCGTTTAGATAAAAATTAACGTATTCGACTAGAGCTTATATGAGACAAGCAACGACATAAAAAGCCAAACTTCATTTTCGATATGTGCAGTATAATGTATGGGCAAAAATAAATCTTATGTGACATTACATTTGTTAATTATATTAATGAACAGAAAAAAAATTGAAGTAAAATTATAAGACAAAAGAACTATAATCACTAATTATATGATTTTACATTAAAATGACCACATTGAAATATTTAAATTGTAATATATATTTGTATGTATTGTTGATTAGTATTTGTGTGTTGGTAGTTTTCCATCATATCTTACGCGTTACATTGTGTTGCTCATTGAATATATAAAATTAGTTAAATGTTATTTATTGCATCAGTAATTATCCTCCAACTATCAATTGTCGAGTGATTACGAATCCATTTTATTCAATATTACTTTTTCTTTATCTAACATCCATGCTGCATGATATTCTCAACTTGCTTCGTGTATCAATTTCACAAATTTGGTAATATATATATATATATATATATATATATATATATATATATATATATATTATACAAATGAGTAATTTGTTGAAGATTGAAAAGAACTTGTTCCAGAAATCAGGTAAGTCAGGTCCAAAAATTTTGTCATCACAATTGAGTTGGACAAATCTATCTTCACTACCTTGAATAATTTCTGAAAGTCTTAAAATATCTTCGGTTGACAATAAATGATATTTGATCCATGATTAAGAAGTCCGAACAAATTAAAAATATCCTTCTGATTGATTATATATGGAGGTGATGGAAGGTCAATTAATGCGTTTGATATACTACTATTAATTGTGATGACACTTTTTCCACATTCCTCAAAATACCATTGAATGTGTTAAAATTCCTTCTTCGGTTATCATTTCATTTGATATATTGTATTGATCTTAGAAGGTAAACAATCTCTAATGTTGAATGAAAATTATATTATTCAGAATAAATATCCGCCTTAAATTCTAGACATGTGCACTATGCCTAGTCAATATGACAAACACAGAGCCGTGTTTTCCTATTTGATTGAAAACTATTTTCATAATCACAAGGATGAAGAGATTCTTTGAATATCTTGGACTGTAATGAAAGCTTACAAAGATTACATATAAAAGAGATGTGTCAAATATTTGGGCATACCAAAGCAAATAAATCATTGCTATCATAATGATCATTACAAATCAAGATTTTTCTTTACATCTTCACAGCTGAATGGGTACTCATAAACAAATAGTCCAACAAAATTCTAATGAACTTCAGACACAAAGATTCGGATTACATCTCATTTGATATATAAATCAATTATAATCTATATTAATTTCAAATTGCTCAGAAAACACCTTGCAATATGCACTACATTCTCGTATTATGTACATATTTGAATGAATGTTTTTCCATCCACGACATTTTATTTTTCGAATTATTTTATATGGAAGCAAAACTGTGTACCATTAACCTTCTACCATAAGCATACTGTTTTGCATTTTGAAATAAATGTGTCCTTATAATAAATATGGATCATTTTGCTTACTACTCTCAAACAATTGAATAGATTAAATATATAAATTGTGTAATTTCCAGTAAAATGTAATTGTTTTTTTATCTGATTGCAATAAAATCGCAATTTGATATTGTAGTATTGTATCTATTGTTTATACCGCAGAAGTATAATTAATAATAGTGTTTATAATTTGTTTCAGCATAACATCTCCTGTTAGTAATATTATTTTCATATTTGTTTGCATTCAACAAATAAAATTTAGTTCCAAATCCCATGCTTTTTGACAATTTTATATATTCATAGACCATACACACATCTTGAAACAAAAATCATAATTCGAGAAAACTACCGACACTTTACGATTAATAATTTAATACATAGTTTGAACACTTTGGCAAATTGTACTTGAACTGATTTAACAACACATTTTTAGATTTATTTTCGCTCCACAAGAAACTCATAAACAAATAAAAATCTATACATTCATATAGTAACATATAAAATTAAACTATTTAAACGGGCAAAACATTTGTCGCTCGCAAACCATTTTCTCGATTTACTAAAACAACTCAAGTTATGCTTTTTATGTGGTGGACTGCCATGCAAAACTATGAAATCGAAATGCAATATACAATATTATTTAAATTTAATATTTGAATAAATTTTACTAGTTATATATTTCAGGTTGTGCTTCCCATACAATTTTTCATTTTCTTTTATATAAAAATGTATAATTTAACATTTAGGGTACATGATTTGTCGCCTCCTCAAAAATTGCATTTCACTTAATATCATTAATTGTAACTCTCTTAAAACTCGAGCATTATGGATTAAAAAATTGCATACAGTGCAGTTTTGAAAGGAGAATCGGGCTTCTGATAAAAACATTTGAAGTTTTTGATATTTAATTAGAGTTTTATATTGCTGTAATTGCCCAGTAAACCACGAACGTTTAATGAAGTTAAAATAACCGAGCACAGTAGAAACGTTGTTACGTATTTTATGGTTACGTTAATGAAACGTAAATGTTACGTATACAGTGGACCCCCGGTAATCAGGCCCCTGCCTGTGCTCGATGCGTAGTAGGGTATTGTTTTGATTCCGATTGCTTAGTTTGAATTTGACTACAGCCGATGAGGAGTGGTGCGAGCGCCTAGCGCGTGTTTATTGTTTACTGTTTATTCATTGTGTATTACTTAGATATACGTACGTAGTAATGTCGTCAAAAAAGCGAAAGCACAGAACATTGACAATTAAAGAAAAATGTGATATTTTAGACCGCCTAGATAGTAATGAATCTTTCAGTAGTTTAGCAAGTGAATACGGGGTAGGTACCCGATCTACAATTTATGATATTAAAAAAAACAACGAGAAGATTAAACAGTTTGTGTCAACTACTGAATGTGGGCCAGGCAAGAGACAGACACTCAAGAAAGCTGAGCATCCGGAAATGGAAGAAGCTTTTTTTCTTCAGGAAAAAATAGACATGCGCCAATTTCGGGATCCATGTTAGCAATGAAAGCTAAATATTTTTATAAAAAAATAACAAAAAAGATGATTTTGTGGCTAGTAAGGGATGGCTAGTACGTTTCAAAAGTCGTGATGGCATACGTTTAATGACCATAACAGGGGAGAAACTTTCTAATAGTGCCACCTGCATAGAACCATTTAAATTAAGATTTTTGCAGAAAGTGAAAGATTTAAATTTTAACCCGTCAAAGGTGTACAATGCAGACGAATCAGGGCTTTTTTGGCGTTTGTTATCCAATAAAATTTTTGAAACAATGAAAAATCCGTACCTGGGCGAAAAGTAAGTAAGAACAAGTGTAACCATACTAACATGTGCTAACGCTGCGGGTACACACACGCTGAAGATGGTAGTCGTTGGAAAATCTAATAAACCACGTGCATTCAAAAACATTGATTTACCTGTACACTATTATGGACAAAAAAGTGCGTGGATGGCAAAAGATTTTTTCAAAAAGTGGTTTGATGAATGTTTCGTACCAGAAGTTAGAAAATGGTTGAAAGATCAT